TGCTATATTTTACAGCTTTATTGTTTACTTTCTGGTATAAAATGTTATCCTATTGTTTTCCCTGCATTCTTAAAAGAAGTCTAGTTTTGTAATGCAGTAGAAGGTGGTGGTAGTAATGACATTTACGACGACGACGACGATGATGATGATGATGATGATGATGATGATGATGATGATGATGATGATGATGATGATGATGATATTGTACCCATAATCTGGAAATAATAAATGTTGGGGTGTTCTTTGAGAATCACTAGTAACCAACTTTATGGATGAATTATGAATAATTATGTTCTAGTTGCAAGAGCAAGTTTAGTGTATTGTTTTTAAGGCACTGAACTAGAAACTGGAAGAAAATGACTTCTAATCCCATTTTACACACAAAGCCAGCTAAGTGATTTTGAGCCAGCCAATTCTCTCATAATTCTAGGAAGCAGGCAATGGCAAATCACAATTGAAACCTTGCAAAAATTCATTTAGTTGTCCTCACTATTGCCAGAAATAAAAAAATGACTTAAAGGCAAATAAAAAAATGTTCTAGTTGCATCAACCTTGAAAAACTCATAATTCTACTATTCAGCGTCCAATCTTAACTCACAGTGATATTGGGTGGAATTTGGCAAGAATACTGTAAATACTTCTCTGGTATTCATTAAAGCACACACAGGCTTATGCATGACCATGAATAAAGATGTTGATACTTTAGGATCCTTTATCAGATACATTTTACTGCATTTTTGATAAATTCTTAAAACTAAGCATATAGTACAGTAGCTTTCTAAAAACATCAATTAAATTTCCACAAACTGCAGCTTCATACACTATTTTTATAAGCAGCAGAAAAATGGGACCTATTTCATACTGCCTCCTTAAAAGGTTTTATAGAAATCTTATTGTTAAAATAAGTTCCTATTTTTCTACTAGTAATGATAATCTTTAGCTACTTTCCTACAGTTTCTAGGTTACTGTACATTGTTTATATTGCAAACTTAGTTTTACCTTACACTATTCAATGACTGCAACAGAATTTCTTATATGAGTGGAATCTTAAAAACTGTTTTAAAGAATGCATTATATGGTAGTTTTAAAATGTACAAAGAAAATATATATGTGGCAGTATAGTGTATTGCCTTTTGCCTTAAATATATAATTTATTGCTACTTTCTGCTCCTTTTCGTAGTGAATGTGAGATCCCTTCCAGTTCATTCTATTCTATTCTATCATTCTATTTCTTTTCATTCTATTTCTATTCTATCATTCTCTTCTATTCTAGGATTTGAAGTCTCAATATGCTGGAGAATACATTACTATCTCAAGAGAATGTGCTTTCTGCTTATTGCTGAATCCAATGCACATTCTACTTATATTTTAGGGGAATTTTCAGGAAAAAACCAAGTTCACACACAGAACTAATAAACAAGCCCATACTGGGTGGAAAACAAGGATGACGTCTTGGGGTATGTATTTCTTATTTACGGGACTGTTGTCAAGAAGTTTTCTTTCTTCTAGAAGCCAACAACTACATTTCAACTGACCAGGAGACGTGGAAAAGAGTAGTTTAAAAATAATTGAAGATTTGTTTTCAACTGAAAAAACATATCTTTTAATGAGACCATCTAATAGTAATTAATTTTTCCATGATGTCTAACATACACAAAATTAGATACAATACAAATTGATGGTTATTGTTTTTCAGTTGTTCAGACACTTCCCATGAGAGACAGGGTCACAATTTGGCCAGAACTATCAGAAAGGTGGTAAGTCATACTGGTGTCATCAAGCTAACTTGTCTTTTGGTGGCTTCTTTTTCAACTGTTTACAGTTTTCCTTCAGTTTAATTTAGATTTCAGTTTAAGTATTCTTAACATTTTTATCCGGGGCCAGCTCAAAGTTATTCACTTTTCTCCTCGTCCAGCCTTTTGGATGGTCCAGCCCTGATAGCTGTATGTTAAAACTGGGGAAACTATCACTTAATACACATCTTTATTGATATGGTGACATCCCTACATGCATAATCTGTCTCCCAAGTAGATGTTTATAGTTGCTATTTCTGTGAATTTTCGAGCTCAGAAAAATAAAGTGTGGTACTTCTCTTCTTGCTTTAGGTTGACATTCCCGACCCTTATCGTTTTAGGAGTTTTTTTATAGTAGTAAATATTGAGTGAGTGGCAAATTAAATTCTGCAATTTCCTCTTTCAATTTTAACAAAAAAATTCCTTAAGTCTTCCTTATTTCCAGTCATGAAACATACCTGGATTTGTTGATTTTAATTCCCATCAAGTTTAATTCCAATTTTTATTTATTCTAGCCCATTTTAGCATCCTTCATTTTCATGGTATAATCTGCATATAAATTAAATAAGGTAACAGTACATATAATCTTGGGGCATTCTTTTAGGAAGAAATAGCAGTCACACAGGCTTATCTACAGCTCTACTTACAGCCCTCTCTAATCAATTTGCAGATTCATCATATTGCCCCAATAATCTGGGTCCTCATTTTACCAATCTCATAAGAATCGAAGGCTGAATCCACCTTGACCCGGTGAGAATCAAACTACTGGCAATTGTCAGAATTAGCATAAAATACTGCAATACTCCATTTCTAACCACTGCACTTCTTCATAATATACTATGCAATATTCTTTCCTATTACAGAACAAGTTGATTTTATATTGTGATACAACTTTCCTTTCCTTGATAGGATATTTATATTCTTCACAGTGAAAATACACTAATTTTTTTGTCCTTCTGTCATATATTTTGTTGCTGTTTTTAGAGATATTTCAGATGCAGACATGAAATGTAGATGTACATCCCCACTTCAAATTTTAACGATTTGAGAATATAGTGAGACTTACAATATGGTTCTTAGTTCTTCAGCTAGGTAGAAATTTATATTACCTGTAAGTACTATATCTTAAGAGTTTGTCCTTGAAATCACTTTATATACGAATTTTTAGATATATGTATATACTGGAAAATAGTTTTACTCTGAACAGGAACTCTCTCATTCAAGAGTCTTATTTATGTGAAACACCACAGTATAATCCAACATAGATATTGTTTTAAGGTTAATAGGACTTACTATTTTTTTTATTTGTATGAGTTATCTCCACATCTCTATGTTTATATGGTTGGGATTACTTAATATTAGAGATATGGCACTATTCTGTTTAATAAAATAACTGCATTATGGATTTGTACTTGAAAATGTGCTGGCACCTATTTAAGAGCAAACCATGTGGCAAAGCATTCAGAAAGCTTTCTTAAACAGAGCAAAACCAAGAAATGCAAATTAGAGTTCTGCTTCTTGAAGTGGTTGAAGATTCAACCTGAATGATGCATAGACAGGCTTTAGAATTCATAATAAAGTCTGATAGATAAAGCTAAACAGATTATGCTTCCTTTGTTGTCCTTTCCCTAGATTTGTTTTAGATTTGTATTCCTGGTTTATCTTTTTCTTCTTCTTTAATTATTATTTTTCAGATGGCAACTATGTG